GCATAGGGAAAAGAGTCGAACGACCAGAGTGTTGTTGCTTATACGGATGGCCCATACTTAAATACACCTACCATAGCGATTCCGGCTTGGTTCGCGCGCACAGATGCTAAGGAAGCGCACGGATCCCTATAGGCGTAGCTAAAAGCATCGAACGACCAGAATGTTGTTGCTTATTCGGATGGCCCATGCTTGAGTACACCTACCAGAGCAATTTCGGCTTGGTTCGCGCGCACAAAAAAGTTCGGCGCTTGCGATGACGGTCGCGTCTGCCGTCAAATGCTAAAGAAGCGCTCGGATCCATATAGGCGTAGGGAAAAGAGTCGAACGACCTGCGTGTTGTTGTTTATACGGGTGGCCCATGCTCAAATACACCTACCAGAGCAATTTCAGCTTGGTTCGCGCGCACAGAAAAGTTTTTGTGCCTGCGATGACGGCCGTGTCTGCCGACAAATGCTAAGGAAGCGCTCGGATCCCTATAGGCGTAGGGAAAAAGCGTCGAACGACCTGAATGTTCTTGCGTATTCGGGTGGCGCATGCTCAAATACACCTACCAGAGCAATTCCGGCTTGGTTCGCGCGCACAGAAAAGTTCGGCGCCTGCGATGACGACCGCGTCTGCCGACAAATGCTAAAGAAGCGCTCGGATCCTTATAGGCGTAGGGAAAAGCGTCGAACGACCTGAAAATTGTTGCATATTCGGGTGGCCCATGCTTGAATACACCTACCAGAGCAATTCCGGCTTGGTTTGCGCGTATTGAAAAGTTTGGCGCCTGCAATGACGGCCGCGTCTGCCGACAAATGCTAAAGAGGCGCTCGGATCCCTATACGCTTAGCGAAAAGCGTTGAACGACCTGAATGTTGTTCCATATTCGGGTGGCCCATGCTCAAATATACCTACCAACGCAATTCCGACTTGGTTCGCGCGCACAGAAAAGTTCGCCGCATGCGACGACGGCCGCGTGTGCCGACAGATGCAAAGGAAGCGCTTAGATCCATATAGGCGTAGGGAAAAGCGTCGAACGACATGAATTTCGTTGCTTATTCGAGTGGCCCATGCTGACATACACCTACCAGAGCAATTCCGGCTTGGTTCTGTTGGTGCAACCCTACGGTTTGCACTCGGCTTGTTGTCCGTGTGCGTGCATGTGTGTGTGTATGGAATGGTATGAGGGCATGGGATAATATATATTTCATGCTTATAATTGTGTGTGAATGTTGAGTCATGATGTCGAGTGTGTGTGTTGAGTCAATAGCGAGTTATCGCTAGACGCGTGTTACGCGGTCGTTTGTGTCTCGCGCGCGGTTTCTATTTTGTCGTGCGTGGTTTCTATTTTGTCCTGTGTCGAACGTTCGGCGTGTCGCAGGTGTGTGCAGCAGACCCATCAAGAACTCAAGGATGAGTTTGTGATGAAGAGCCCGAGCCTTGGTGTCAAGCCTCAAGTGATTTCGAAGCTCGCCAAAAGGGTACACCTCAAGATATTAAAGATAGTTACATTACTTTGTGTAGTGTAACATTTCACTTGGTGTAGGCCCTAGTGAAGGGTAGTTTCGAGACCCTTCGTGGTTGGGGACAGTGTGGCACTGTTCCACATCACTGTACCTCGGCTCTTGGGGTTTGTAGGAGCTGGGAGTCATTCACAACTCGTAACTCTTCCTAACTCTTCCTATCTTGTGTTCCAAGACTATAGTGGCTGCCATAGTGCCGTTCGTTAAAACTGACGTTGTGTCGTCAATACTTAGTGAAATCGTGCGATCTAAATTGCCTATTGTAGGAGACAATAAGACGCTCCAGATCCAAGTTGAATCAAGTCATTTGAAGCTGTGACCAGAACGCTATGAACGTTTGAAGCCGCTGTGCAGAAATCCGGCTGTGCACTCTATCTTTCGTTTTAGGCACATTGGAGCCTATTGTGACTATAACAAGTGGTATCAGAGCCCCTTGGAGCAGTTTCGACAATTGCTGGACCTGAGGAAAGGGGTGGCAGAGGTGCTGGTGGCAGTGGAGAAGCCAAAGCTCAAGGCCAACCCCGTGACTCAGCCATGGCGCCCGTGCAACCAAGTGTTGGCCCATCTAGGGACGAGCCTAGAGTGTTTGGCCTTGACAAGTTCAACGGTGACAACTTTGCTGAGTGGTCCTTCAGAATGGAGAACGTGTTTGATCACTATGACCTGCTGGAGGTGATGGAAGGAACGGAGAAGCGCCCCGAGAACGACCCGGAGAAGAGCCCGTGGGTGCGGAAGAGCGCACAAGGCTACCTCCTACTAGGGCAAGCGTTGGGGAGCAGCCAGATCCGTCACATCAAGCCTTTCCAGCGTGAACCAGAGAAGGGACCAAAGGCATGGGCTGCTCTCAAGGGTGTACACGCTCCTGCAACAGCGGCGGTAGCTGTGGTGTTGGAACGGCAAATGGCGACACTACGAATTGAAGAGGATGAAGCGGTTGAAGAAGGGGTGCAGAAATTCTTCGACTTGTTGACGCGGCTTGAGGGAGCTGATTTGAACTGTAGTGAGCTCCAAAAGAAGACCAAGTTGCTGGCCCTACTCCCTGAGTCATGGTCCTCGCTCATCATCAACCTTAATCGCGACTTGCCCCGCCTCTCGCTTGAAGACGTGAAGCGAGCTATCCTTCAAGAGGATTTCCGCCGCCGTGAGTTGGCGAGTGCGGATGGCGCTGGGGCAGCGAGCATCGGCCGTGGATATGGTCGAGGAAGAGGCAGAGGACGAGGGGGAGGAAGGTTTGGTGGCAGCAACTTCGGCGGAGGCCGCGGGAGTGGCGGTTACGGCAGCGACGACAAGAGCTACGGACGCGGTCGCGGCCGATTCGACGGCGAGTGTCACTATTGCCACAAGAGCGGACACATGTGGCGCGACTGCTACAAACTCCCTGATGGTTGGACCCCTGCTCAAGGCCAAGAGGGTAGAGGAGCAGGAGGAGGGAGAGGACGAGGCCGTGGAGGCCGTGGCGGTCGCGGTGGCGGAGCTGCAAACATGAAGAGCGGAGACAACGACAAGGACCCGAGCGACGATCGATACCCGGGTCTATTCTACTTCGTGTCGACGCAAGTACCGGCTGGTCCAGAGAAGGATGATGGCTTTGAGGAGCCAGCAGCTGTGGGGAAGGTGACCCTACACCCCCTGGACTATTGGGTGATTCATAGTGGCGCTACCTATAGCATGACACCTCGCCCGGACTTGCTCACCGAACTCGAGCCGTCACCGGTGAAGCATGTCACATCGGCTTTGGGGCAGCGAGCAGAGGTGAAAGGAATGGGGAAGGCCATGTTCAAGGGTGCTGATGGGAAGATGGTGGGCCTCAAGAACGTGCTTTGGGTGCCCAGCCTTGCTGCAAACCTGATTTCCGTGCGGCGGTTGGCAAAAGCCGGCATGGACACGAACTCGAAGGGAGCCAAGACCTACACCGCAAGGCTTGGCGATCGAATTCTTTGGGACCTTCATGAGGACAGGGATGTCTACAACGAGATGTGGCAGATCCCAGTGGTCCCTATGCCTAAGGAGAGGCAAGTGGCAGCAAGCATCAGCACAAAGGATGGAGCGGTCGGTAGCGACGATGGCGCAAACGGTCGCGCTAAGGAGAATGAGCTCAAGAAGAGCAAACCTGGAGGGACCAGCAAGTTCAGTGAACCTAAGGAGAGTGGTGCAGCAACCAAGGAGCAGCAAAAGGGTGAGGAGAACCCCGAGGCAGCAGCGGAGGAGGACTACGGAGAGAGTATGTGGGGCGCTATTGCGAGCGCGGCATTCTCCAATCCAACTTCGGCTACGGGGGAGTGTGATTGGCTCACCTTGCATCGGCGCATGAGGCATGTGGCCCTGCCCATCTTGCAGCAGCTAGTGAAGAACCAGATGGTTGCTGGCATACGTGTGAAGGGGGAGCCCGATGAGGTGCTTGGCTGCCCGACGTGCATTCAAGCCAAGTTCACCCGGTTTCCGTTCCCTAGTTCGGAGGCAACGGCAAAGGCACCGCTTGATGAGGTGGTGATGGACGTGGTGGGCCCCCTGAAGCTTGGAGCTGCTGGAGCTGAGTATTTTCTCACCATTGTCGACGTCTACACCTGCATGACTTGGGTGTATGTGCTGGCCAAGAAGAGCGACGTGGCTGAAACGTTGAAGACGGATTGGTTCCCGATGGTGGAGCGGCAACAAGACCGTCTAGTCAAGTCAATCCGCACCGATCGAGGGGGGGAGTTCCTGAGCAAGGAGTTTGGGTTGTGGCTGAAGAAGAATGGTATTCGGCACTCCCTCACCATGCCATACTCCCCTGCAATGAACGGCATCGCCGAGCGAGCGAACCGCACAATCACGGAGGCGGCACGCGGGTTGCTCATTGAAGCCGGGCTACCCGACTATTTCTGGCCTGATGCGGTGCGGAGCGCGTGTGTGGCCAAGAACAGAGCCTTGACTCATGTGGGAGCAGACAAATGGGTGCCCTATGTGGAGTGGCTAGGAAGGAAGCCAAAGGTGGATATGCTTCGGGTGTTCGGGTGCATGTGCATGGCGCTCGTGCCTAAGCATCTTCGGCACAACAAGCTTGGTGCCAAGGCGGTGTGGGCCGTGCACTTGGGCATGGCTCAAAACAGCAAGGGATGGCTTCTTTGGGACCCATTCACCAAGAAGTTCTTGGTGAGCAGGGACTGCAAGTTCATGGAGAACTTCATGTACAAGGATTGGAAGGCGGAGAATGAGGCGAAGTTAGGCGTGCGGTTTGGGGAGGTGAAGAGTTCCGGTTTGGAGCATGTGGAGCTGCCTTTGGAGCTGAGCAGCGGCAGCACAACCACAAGGAAATCCTCCCTTGTGAATGGGGGAGAGGAGGCCAATGATGCAGAGGAAGAAGAGGAGGAGGTGCAGCAAGTGAGCGAGCGTGCACCGTCACTTCCTTCCCGTACTACGAGTGCTCCACGGATTCGAGCCACACCGCAACAACGCCAAGGCCTTCAAGTCCCTGCAGCTGAGGAGGAAGGAAGGGGGAAGAGGAGAGTTCAACCC